CGTAGTGTAAAAGCGCTTTGAGTGGGTCGGAAGACTAGAAAGGCGCTATACAAGTACAGGTCCATTTACCATTTACTATCCCATCTATCCCTTATTCAGATAAGGAAAATAAAACCAAAAACCCTCTTTAACAGGACAAAAATGGAACAAGTAATGTTAAGGGGACCATGAATGTGTTTTCTTACCAACTTTCATGTAAATATAAAAAAAAGGTTGTCGAGAGATTTTACTTAAAACTACAAATGCGGATGGTGTTGAGAGGGATCACCAAAGTCATTAGGATACTGTGCATCATAGATATCTGTACAGAATTCAGTGGCATCTGTGCAGCAGTTGAGGTGTTTCAGTTTGGACCAAATTGGTGGACCGACTGACCGACTGACTGACTGACTGACTGACTAACCGCCAATGTCAACCACATTGCTGGCATGGCTAAAAATGAAGTGGTTAAATTCCTGTTTATGACGCAAATGCAAGAAAGAAATCTTTACTTTTGTGTCTTTTAGGGACTGCGCTTCATAATACTGCGACCAACCACTTCATGACCACGGTGATGTGTCACAGGGTGGGGTGTGTGTGTGCCATATCCTTCCCCTTACGCCAGAAGTATCTCCTGAGCGACTTATGTAACCAAAGATTGGACCAGAGTTTCCCCACAAGGACCCAATTGACAAGAATAATATAGGATCATGGGAGATTCTTTTAACTGATGAAAATCAAATAGATGTAAAATATGTACTAATTTAATTGTGTAGGAAGCACAAACAACTCCCAGTATGCTCCAGAAAAAAATACAAAGGAATGATGGCTGTTTTTAAATCACATAAAAAACCTGAGAGCTTTCTTACTCCTTACAACCTAATGACTCACAGGTAACAAATGAAAGAAAAGCTCTTTCAAATTAGACACTTGCATGGCTTTGTAAGAGTAGAGTGGCATTCTGTACTGCCCTGTACTGTGCAGAGGGCATGGGTTTTCCCCTCAGAGCCCAGGATGGCAACTAGTTAGACTGACTTAACACTTTAAAGCAGCCTATTGGAAGTGAAGCGCCTGAGCTGATCACCAGAGAACGGGCCAATGACAAGCGAGAAGCTGGTTGTATGTATTGTCTGAGCCTCCAATGGGGAGGCTGGGGCAGAGCACTGGGCAAATCCTCAGTAATAGGCTTGGGATTTAGGGGATCCAGTTGGGTAAAATGCAAGATTACAACTGCTCCACAAACATACAGGCAAACTCCTTTTGCTTTCTGCTCTCATTTCTGAAAAGTGATTATTATCACTGCGAATCGCAATGTGTTTAGCATCGACTAAACCTAGTGGTGATTCATTCTTATATTATATTATTTGAAAGGTGCATCAAGTGATTGCTTTACTGTCCCACGGCCAAAATGTAATAAATCTTTGGGGGTTTGACGTCAGTGAGTGATAACAGTGAGAAAGTCTTTACTTTTCCAGACCCTGGCTTTAAAAATAGCAAACTTTCTTGCCTGTATTTGGTTTGAAAATGTCATATATCTATAGAAAAACCTGTTTTTAAAGATAGAAATGACTGCTATGAGTATCGTACTGTAAGCTTTGCCACAAACTGGGTGAAACTGCAATGTCTTGATGCCCCATAGAGTGGATACAAGTTTAACTATGCAAAAACACTAAAAACACTAAGGACTAGGGTTATAAATAATAATTATTATGAATATTGATCAATCCATTTATAATTTACCTTATAATTTGATACAAAATATGAACAAATGGCCATCAGAAGTTGATATAACCCACAATGGTACTTGCTTTTGTCTGACTTGAAACTCATAATAAATCAACAATGATGTAAAACTGAAAACTATCCAGCAGTAGCTGAAACAATTGATTTGTTGATCTACAGAAACGTATAAATGTCAAACATTCTCTAGCTCCACTGTCTCAAATGTTGTTGATGGGCTTTAGGAAATTGTAATCTGCATTTCTCAATACTTTCCAGTCTGTTTTCAACCCCAATTAATTGATGATGAAAACAATTGTTAGTTGCAGCCCTACAGGCAGTTTTTCTTAAAAGTCTCATTAAAACTGTAGTTGATTAATGTTTTGTTGACTCTAAAATGCTAATTATTTTGGGAGAACTTCACAAAACTTCCACTGAAATACAGAATTTTCCGACACTGCAGAAATAACCATGTGATGACAATAGAGAGGGAATCTTACTGTTGCTGGACTTGAGGTCCCGGTGAATAATGGGGACGATGGCCTGGCTGTGGAGGTAGTGCATGCCCCGGGATATCTGCACGGCCCAGTCCACCAGCGTGCACGGAGGGATGCGTTTCCCAGCGAGGGCCCGGTTCAGGGAGCCGCCCCGGGCGTACTCCATAACCAGACACAGGTTGGGCTCCAGCAGACACACCCCCAGCAGACCCATGATGTTGGGATGGTTGAGCATGGCAAAAAGTTTGGCCTCCTGACGCACGCTCTCCAAAGTCTGCTCCGCGTCCTCATCAGGGTCCCGCCGTGCTGCCTTCACTGCCACCTCTGACCCCCGCCACACAGCGCGGTAGACTTTCCCAAAACCGCCCACCCCGATGATTTCCTCCAGGGTCAGCTCTGAGAAATCGATCTCCAGGACTGAGGAAACGTGCGAGGAAAAGAGCATGAAGATGAGATTTAGAGAGACAGACAAAACAATTACAATCTCCTGACACATTATTGATCTTCATAAAGCAGTCACATTATTGTTCACAACCTTTGAAGGACATCAGAGGTCAGGATCAGCCCGTCTGGAGCTGGTGGGGATTCTCTGTTTTACTCTCCAGCAAGGCGAATTACTCGCTAACAAGGATCTCAAAACCAGGTCATTCAGTTGAAGGATGTTTTCACTAAGCCACCCTGCTGCCCCAAATACAGGATCTGGTGGAACTACCCCTCTTGCTATTACACAAGGGAGAGCATCTGTCAATAAATCTGGCTGGCATGTTAGGAGAAGAAAGGAAGAAAGGAAGATGATCCTCTCCACTTAAGTGTTTAGATTAAAATGTGTGTGTCATGTGAACAGAAGTCTTTGTGTCTGCAGCTGCAAACTCTCATGTTGTGGATTCCTAACAGTCTACCAAGCAGACTGACCTTGATGAATATTTCAGGTGGGATGGTATGTGAAAGTAGGCCAGCTGCTGCTGAGTATGAAAAGATGAAAGACTGAGATAGCCAACAAAGACAGCTGAGGTGATGTGGTCTACCCAAACAACCGGGGCTGATGTGGGTCAAATGGCTTTAAAACACATGTTTTATTAGCCTATTTATGTTCAGATACGGATATAAGATTTGTAATTATATGTGGGGGAAACTGGTTTTGTTGGTGCAGAGCATCCTTCTACACACAGCTCATAACGATCAATAAGAAGTGAGTGTTTTCACTTTGTGCAGTGCACTATAGGTGCTTCTGATTCTGCTTACTGTATCTATCTGAGGCCTTGGCTGCACATTTAGCTGCAGAAGCTTTTCCTCTACAAGCACAATTTGACATTTCTTGCTCTCTTGCAGCACAGTTTTGGTGCAAACATTACCAATCACCATGAGGTCAAATGCATATCATCCCAGTGCTTTCCTTAGAGAGCATAACAAAGGTTTATATAATATGCAATGATAATATTGCACGTAGAGGACTTATATGTCCAGTTCTGTTAAATATTCTTTCTGCTGAGGATGCAGCGCACATTGTGCATTGTAATTGGAGTACTGAGGCTGGGTGCATCACTGACCGCAGCTGGCTGTTTGTTTGACAGGCACTGTGATGTATAATGGTCCTGAAGCTGTGAGGATGCTTGGGCCAGCCCGTTTCTAGGCCAACGGGAGTGCACTGCGCCTACCATGACACAGCACTCTCAACGTGTGTTTCTCTGGCCTTCCGACAAAGGACAAGGGAAGACCTGCTCTCTGTTTTAGTGATAGCAAAACGGATTGCATTTGTTCGGGCATGAAGCACAATAGGATACTCACGGTGCAGAGGAGGCACTGAGTACTGCTGCTCTGGAGTGTCCCGTATTTCCTCCGGAATGCCGTTCCCTTTGCTCACATAATTAGACGGGAAAATGCCGACCCGGTCTGCTATCATACCGGTCCACCAGCCCTCATCTCCCGACACCAGGGAATCTTTGGACAGGACCTCCACCAGGTCCCCCCTCCGCAGGCTGAGCTCGTCGTCCGCAGTCGCTTCATAGTCGAACACGGCCGTCCAGTAGCCCGGTGCGGCGGGTCGCGCATCCGGCGCGGCACGGATGCCATTCTCCGGTGTCGGCCAGCGAAAAACATCTGCCTCTGCTTCTTCCGATGAGGAAACGCACGCCTTGGGACTCAAACTATTGTCCAAAGCGGGTTTGAAGACATCCATGGACGCGATCCATAGGGACGACCTGGATCACTGCAGGCGCATCCACCTGACGCGGCTGGCTGGCGGCTCGGTGCGCCCTGCGTTTGCACACACACACACACACACAAAGCTAAGTAGCGGCTAATCCCACACACAAACACTGCAGGAAACTGGAAACACCATTCTGCTGCATCGTCTGTCTTTCAGTCCCCGCTGGCTGCTATCAAACACACAGCTCCAGCTTGGTGGTTTTTGGATGCACAATCCTTCACCAATCATCGCTGGAACTCCTCGGACGCAGTAGTCTTTATTTTAAGCCAATTGTGCCAACGTGCGAGTCGTACGCGGCCTCCCATTGGTGCACAGACACGTCAGCAACAGTTCATCTCCCGCCCTCCTCTCAGCGTCAAATGCTGCTCACCCTTCTCCCAGCGTGAACCTAACCCCACACCAATTAAACACATACACAAACACATATTTCTTTTCTTCAAATAGTCTCCTTTATTTAGTTATTGACCCCCCCCAAACACCCCACCCCCTTCAAAAAATAAATAAATAAATAACATAAAACATAACAAAATACTCAACCTAATGTTAAATTCCATGCATAATTCCCTGAAATAAAAACATAATCCATAGCAAGGAGTAAAAAACAGTCAACATAACCAACAATCAAATAAACAATCCCCACTATTTCAGTGATGTGATGAGAGGATAAGGTATGTATGTGCATGTGTGCGTGTATAGCTGAAATTCAATTAATAGTCCCTCTATACTTAAAAATAGATTCTTAAAGGATTCAAAGATTCTCAATTTTATTTTTACTTGATTATATTCAAACCTATTCATGAAAAAACCTGAAGAAAATAAACCCTAAACATTGTGTGGTAAGACATCAGGGATATTCTGGAGCTTTAGAGGACAGCTTCACCCAGTTCAGGTCGAGGCTGCTGGAGCCTCTGTACAGTGGAGATCCAATAACAGTGTTTCACATGTGAACAAAAAAGATCAATGAGCACAAAAGCATGAGTGAGAAATCAACCAAAGTCTCCACGGTCACTTCAGTCCACTTTCTAACACATTTAACCAGGATCTGTGAGCACAGTCAGCGTTTGTATTTATATGTGAAGATACATGAAGATATCATCAGTGCAGTCCCACAGAGGTGGTTCATAAAAAGTATGTTTGGGAAGATGGTGACAGGCAAATGACACGTATGGAAGCCCATTTCCACCAGGGAAAGAAAAATTATTATTATGAGATCAGTAAATATAGCTTACTAAGTAAAAAATAATCAGATACAAACTCTACATTTTGGTTTAATATGTCAAAATTATAAAAAAAAGTAAGTCAAAGTCTTTCTTAAATTTGCAGATGTCAAAAATTTGGATTTAAATTATGAGATAAGTCATAATTTTTGCTTACTAAATCAAAATAATTAAAAAGTAAGCCACAGTTTTTGGCATAATAAGTCAAAAGGATAAAATGGTAAGTCCCTACTATAGCTATGCTGTAAAAAGACTTTAGCTTAATAAGTGAAAATTATTAAATAGTAAATTAATAGATAGTGAATCAACATTATAAGCTAATATGTCAATCTTAGCTCATTAAGTCAAAAGTATGAGATAAAAACCCATCATTTTAACTCACTAAGTGAAATTTTTATTATGATTAACTTGTCCTCTATTTCTTTGTCTTTTTCTTGGCAGAAATGTTCTTCCATTCATGTGAGAACTGAGGCTTTATTTTGCTTTCGATTTGACTTTTACTTTGGAAACTGAAACATTAAGCTCTTCTATTACTTATCAGCACATTAGAGGTCATTTTTAAAAGGTTGCCTTTTTTTACAATCTTGTGAGTGTGAGAGAAAAAGAAAGTGTGACTTAAAGTGACAAAGACAGGAACCTCTGATAACCAATTAAGCTTTCATGTATTTGAAAAATGCCTGTATAAATTACAGATATTAACAAAAACATCCATCTGAAGTGACTCTTCTGCAGATTGCAGGACCATTGCACCTCGGTGTTTTAAAAAAAATGTCAAATCTGAATTTGAAATATTCTGCGATTAGCAAAGTGTAAACAAAGCAGTTTCCTCTGCAGCCTGCTCTCGGCTACTTTAATAAGATTATGAAAAACACACGAAACCCACTCATGACGGGCAAAATGTGGTTTGTCTTAACACAACCGGGAGGCTTTTTGCTTGGACGTTGTTGCAGATATGCAGTGGAGTGCAATAAACACAGACACACAGTTCATTGATATAAACATATGAGACCCCAGACAGAGCATTGGTTTCACAGACAGTAAAAGTATCTATTGTAATCCCTTCACTTGATTTCTGGATTGGATAAGGAAATAAAAAGGAAAAGCAATAATCGGGAGATTTTTCAAATAAACATTTACACTCCATCATAGCCCAGAACACTGGATCCTTAAACCTCCATGCGTCGACTCACTTGTGCTTCTTCACTGCAACATATTTAAATAGCGACATCGGGTACTGAAAACCCACATTACTGTAGTGTTGTGAAGCCCCTAATAACACCAATTTTGGAGATGTCGAGTTAAAAGGTTTTGGTTTGTTCGTAGACACCTTTCAAAATCTATAATCTCACAAATACAGTGTAAACAGGCTGTAAACAACTCTGCTTTTCTTCAGTCCTGAAAAAATTAACTCTGTGACAGTGACAGTATGTTATTATCAACAAAGGATGTTTCAAAAATGTTTCCAAGTAGACACATTGTCAGATTCAAAGACACACAGTCAGGCTCGATTTAAGTCAGTGCAACCAGTGTTTGCTTATGAACCAGAAAGCTGCTTTTATTCCAAAGTAAAAGAACAAAACGGCTTAATCTTAAAACACCGCCAGCTTTGGAAATACGCTTTTTTATTTTGACATCTCATTGCAGGCCAAGAAAAACATACCCATTCATTAAAATGTGCCCCTTTTCTGTTACACACACACACACAAACAAAGTTAACAGAACAGTATTCACCTAATCAATGAAGCTTTCCCTTAGTGTGTCACAACATCATCAACCACAAGTCCAATTACTAAACAGTGATATTTTACTTCTATCCCACAGAAAAAAAGAGACTGGTGCCTTGAGAGGTGATGTGTATGTATAAATATTTGTCAACTTTTACAGAATTAAGACATGTATTTTTAAGACAAAATAACAGAACCGATTTAGAGT